TGTGATTGGTATGCTAGACTGAAACGTTAACATGAGCAGAAAGAAATCCCCCATGTTCAGCATGCTTGACTGCACTGCACTAACAACAGAAGTTAATTAGTCTTTGGGTCTTGATTCATCTTAAAACTCATTGACAACACTATCATCAGTCCCTAGAGCAAAGTTTCACAGGAAAAAAAAAAAAAAAAAAAAAAAAAAAATGGGGAAAGCCAGAAACTGCAACAATTAAATAGGAAATTCAACTATTCCAAGGAAACATACTTAGGAGAAGTTTTTCGGTCCTTGGAGACAATGATGAGGTACCCCCGATACCAGTGAACAATCAGTTTTTGTCCCTCAAAAGCAAAGCAGGGGCCTCGTTCATCTGGCTGATAAAGGTATACACATTCATTTCCTGCTACAATGAACTGGAGGTCCTGGGAGGGGTCGCTCAGAGAAGAACAGTGCAATCCACAGCCATGAGTGTCCAGCTCCAGATGAGAATAGTCTTTCACAGAAAGCAGGTAGGACTACGGAGAAAATACAAGGTTTTGGGGCTTACCTGAAATAGACACTGAAGGCAGTGCAATTGTAAGTCAGATTCTCACTTTTTCAAATTAATTTCCCACCTGGATGTTCTCTGTGGTCACCACAAACAGATGCGTTGTTTTGCCAGACTGTCGAAAAGCAAGACCAGTAACTGGGTAACTGCCTTCATGTAGGATCTGGGTCTTACTATGGCGATCTCGAGTGATGTCTCCTTTTGTAAGCACAACACTCCCATCTGCAAAACCTTTTGAAAAGGATAGATCAAACTGTTCACTTCTGTGGCACACTTGAAATATTATCCAGGGCAAGTTAGTACAGATGCAGCCAATGACAAAAATCTGCTTGCCAGCAAAGTATCAAGCTCCTAGACTGCTGCAGGCTCTCAATTAAATACCTACCAATCTCTCCCCATACATGACGTCACTGTTCGATGCTCAACTTGTTCTCCCCCATCATGAACTTCACTTGCAGGTTGTTTTTGTTTGGGTCTTCCTATATTTAGCTTTAAGAATAGCCCTTTCATCATCTAATTTTAACTATCAGTTATCTCACTTACTCAAAGCACGCTACACACAAAAGAAACAGTTTTCACAGTTTGCTGACAGCATCAATCCAGCAAACTGTTCCAAGTCACAACACTAATAATGGAAGGTCACAGCACTAATAATGGAAAGACTTAATTTCAATGCAGAAACTAACTCACAGAAACAGTTTATAGCCTTGCTACATTCCCGCTCTTATTTTAAGCAAGCAACATTAAAAAGGCACAATTAAATCAGAACAAATGGAGATTGGCTTTGTGGGCTTTAAGAAAGTTTCCACAAAGTATATGGGGGGGGGGGAGGAGTAGATATCAGAGGGGGGGAAAACACCCTAGCATTATTTATGAAAAAAACCAATGCTATTCTCTGTGCTGGTACTAAACTTAGACTGTCTATAACCATTATTATCATACACTTATTGACTTGCAGGAACAAAAAGCATCAACTGAAAAGATCTACTTCTCTGCGAGATATCAAAATTGTTACAATCATACACACAAGCATAAGCTAAAATTATGTATTCATTTCCTTAAGGCCTCCAGTAGCACATAATACACGACCCCTCTGTATGAAAAGAATTTTACACATTCATTTTCCATACATCAGAATAGAGACAACAATACATGTCTTAAATTATTACAGGTCAGCAATACTTACCAATAGCCATGAAATTCAGATTCTCATGGACAGTAAGACAGGACACAACTGTGGGCTTGTTACCGGGTATCGCTGGAAAAATTCGTGTGCAAAGAGGATTGCCACCATCTCGTTTTTCCAGATTCCATACTTTAACCTCAAAACAATAAATATTACATTAACAAAAAAAAAACAAAACAAAACAAAACATGAGATATTAGAAACAAACTACTTAATAATTAACTATAATACCAGTATCTTTTCCTTTGCCATTTAACTTACCAATGGGTTAATGCCCTCTTCATCCTCACCAACAGAAACTAAGATGCTGTGCTGCTTCAGCTGGTATAGGTGCGTTACCCTTAACTTGTAAGCTTGGAAACCACTGAGTTGAAGTGAGCGAGGCAAAAACCAGATTCGACCTTCCATATGTACATCACAATTAAGGAATATAAAGGAAAAGGTAAAAATGAAGCGAAAAACAACCCTCACCACCACCCACACCTCTAAGAACACCAGAATCAAAATCTTAAAAGCTCCTTGTTGTTGACCTCTGGGAAGCCTACAGCAAATATACTTTTGCTGTCACCTACGAGAACCAAAACAGGTGACAACAGTTCTGTAACATGCAAGGGGCAGAGAAGCCAAAGAAGCTGTCGCATACCCGACTCTGGAGCACTACTAGGCCCGCCTCGGAGCTCAGCCCGCGCCACAAAGCGCAGATCTCTCCTCGCGGCGCAGCCCACGAACCCAGTGCAGGCCAAATGGCCCGGCCCCATCACTCCTGCCGCCGCCGCCGCCGCACAGGATATCTCCGAACACAAGGTTACCCCGGCCTGAATCACAGACCGTGATGCCCGGAGGCAACACGAAGGGCTTCCCACCCGCCCCCTCCGGCCCCGGCGGCTCCTTCACCATCTCTCTGTCGAAGAAGACAAAGCGGCGCCACTGCAGGTAGGCGGCCATGTTGGTCGAGCTCCTCACGTGACCAACTTCCCAACCCCCTTCGTGTCACGAGACGAAGGACGCTGGAACGCGCGATCTGGCGCACTGCGCGCGTGCTGCCGCGCGAGCTAGAGGCGCTGCGGTGCGCGGGTGCTGGTCTGGGAACGGCTGGGCTAATCGTCTGATGTGGCTCGCTGTTTGAAATACGCTCGTAGAAACTTACTCCTTGAGAAAGTATGCTTTGGTAATTGCAAACTGAATCGGTTTTTTAGTTTACTTTACATGGTGCCGTAAACTTTTCTGGCTAGTTTTACATTTCCCACTGGAGCAATTTTGCATTAAACTGTTACAAAGCAGCCTGTAATAAACAGCAGCTCCTTGAATTCAATTCTCACTATTGTCAGTGGCTTGATCCCCTATACAGCCCGGTAAGGAAATTTGGTAGCAAAGAAATTTGACACCGAAACAAAAATACAAAAAAAGAAAGCTTTATGAATAATAGCACGCGTCTGTTACTTCTGAAGTCTCTCCAGTTTTTTGTAAAATCTTAAATTGCTCTTCCATTTAGTCATGGTGGATATTATCCAGCAGTCCAACACACTGCAGTTTTGTTGCTTCACAACCAATATCTTCCACCAGCTCGACCTTAGAAAATTCAGTACTTTAGTACTCACTGTTGTGTTTTGTCCTCATTTTACAGATTAAAATACAAGCCCAATTACAGGCTGCCAGATGTAATGCCAGGGTGCTGATCCGAAGCTGGGAAAAAGTAACATCGCCTGCCTCTTGTCCACAGCTTCAGATAGAGATGGCAATCCTAGTTCTTAGCCTAGCTTTATTCCTATCTACTACAAACCACCCTATCCTACTTCAGGCACGTAACCCAGGCACTGCTCCCAGCCTCAGCCACCGCGGTGCGGCGGAGTACCTCGAGCAGTGAGGGGTACAGAGACACTGACCGCGAGAGGGCACGAGCGCTCCATAGCTGTCGGAGCTACGGCGAGAGTTGCCTACCCTATGAAGAACACCGATGCTGCTAAGAGGCACTTAAGGACGTTTTTGTAACTATGGTCCCTCTAGCATAGAGAAGAAATACTTCTATAACAGGAATTTCGGGCCAAAAGCGACATCATACCGTGCAGCGCTTAAAGTTCCTGCAAAGATCTTTCCCACAAATAAAAAGTGATTTTTGGACCAATGTTATAAGACTTACATGAAAGCAATAAAGAATAAAACTAATTTTTGACTAAGAGAAAAGTTAAATAGTGTTTTATACAATCGCAATGGGAAAGAAACCAACACAATAGAAGGATATTAGAAAAGTGCTCACCTGTCTCTGAAAATCTCAGCTCACTAGAAAGACTCCACAGGGGATAGATCTCTAACCAGAGAGCCTTCCTTAGCAGCAGTCAGCCCTTAAATGAGGTCTAAGAGAGGTGCAGCCATGCTCCACTCCTTCTGGTCACATCGCTGAACTGCTTTCACCTGTGCTCCCAGGGTTGACTGGGTCTTTTCCCCAGGTGCTCAATCAGTGGTTCATGCCAAGATCAACAGTTCCCATACAGCAACGTAGGGCTGCTTTGATCACACCGAGCTTGTATCATGCTGAATTATTCATGGAGTCACAGAACCATTCCAGGTTGGAAAAGACCTCTGAGACCCACAATGCCAAGCTCAACCCACCCCCACCAATGGTCACTGCCCACACCCCCCAGCGCCACATCCCCATGGTTCTGGGATGACAGAAGGGACGGGTGGTAGGATTCCACCACCTCCATGGGTAGTCTGCGCCAGTCCAACGCCAGTACTTTGGAGACGAAACCTTCTCTAATATCCAATCTGAAAGTTCAGTCAGCGTCTAAGAGTTCTGAAACAAAAATCGGATGTGTCAGAAGAGTGGGTGCCATCGCTTTCTCTCCCCCTGACGCGGAACAAAAAGGTCGCGGCAGCCCCACGGCTGTTTCCAGGCTGCCGGAGATACTGTGGGGAATACGAAGGCCTCGCTCAGCCCGGGGCCGGCTACGCCTACGGCAAGCGGCTCCCCGACAGGGAAAGCACAAAGAACGCATGCTGCTCCAACCCGGCGGCATCGGCGCAGCGATTCCCGACGACGCCTACCCGCGACTGAAGCCAGAAGCAACCACTCTGCAACTCCCGGGCCGCGGCAGAGGGGTCGGAGGCACCCGAGGGGCTGCGAAGCTCCGCCCTCACCCCGCGCACGGTTGCCGCGGCGACGCCCCGCCCCCGTGACGCGCGCAGTGACGCGCGGTTGGTGGAGGCGGGCGCAGGGGGCGGGGCGGCGCGGCCCGCGGGGCGCCGCAGACAGAGAAGAGCCGCCCGAGCCGCTGCCGCCCCCTGCGCCCAGCATGGTAATGGCCGAGCCTCGGCGGCCCCCCCCGCTGCTGCCCCGCGGGCCCGGGCCCGTCCGCGTCGGCTTCTACGACATTGAGGGCACATTGGGCAAGGGTAACTTCGCCGTGGTCAAGCTGGCGCGGCACCGCATCACGCGTAGCGAGGTGAGGCGCGGCCCCGCCGCCCCCGCTCCTCTCCCGGGCCTGGGCTGCGGACTGCGAGCTTAGCTGCGGGTAGACGGCGGCCGCGGGTCCGTTCGGGGTCTGCTGGGGCCGGCAATCTTAGGACCGGCAACCTTGGGGCCGGGAGGCGGTTAGGGCCGGGAGGAGCGGGGCGGCCGCGCCCCGCCCGTGCCGCTGCCCGGGGCTCGGGTGCTGTCCCCGCCTCGCTCCCGTTTGGTCCGGCTGAGCCCCGCGGTGCTGCGGCCCGTCCCAGCCAGTGTTGAGGCCACACTGCCCCGCTGGGACGACGACGCGTGCCCCCGCAGCGCCTCCTGCGTTTCGCGGTGCCTTTGTGTAACACCTCCCCTCAGTACGGGTGTTCCCGCGGCCGCCCGCTACGCGGAACTATCGCCTGGGACGGGTACCGTGCGCCTCTGAACGGTCCTATGGCGGTTCTGCGGCCCTCCAGAAGCGCTGCCCCCAAGGAGCAGGCGGAGCTCGGGGTCAGGGTCCGTAGGAGCTGCTGTGGTCCTGCGTGGTGAACCCGGCTTTAGAAAGCGCCCCACGTGTGGCCTTCAGGTCATCACAACTCTATGCTATGCCCTTGCTGCTGTGCCCATGCCATACATACCAATGCTGGATCCTCAGCACCAAGTTTCCCTAACTCTTGTTTCCTAAGCTGCCCAGTACTCAGAACATTGATGGTAAATCCCTCAGTGCCACTACTGCTGGGCTGAGCTGGTTTCAGGTTTCACTGCCTACTGGTCTGGTGCCATGCCTTCATGTGCTGTACACTCCCTTGCAGGTAACAGTTCTTCACTTTTGTCTGTCCAACTGCCATGAGAGCAAAACTTTTTGTTTTAGTTTTTATTTGTTGTTTTGGAATGTGTGTTTGTTTACTGTTCAAAATATCAAAGGTTGCAGACAGAGCCTGATGGCTGCTCAACTCTGCTTTGACTTTTTCATCTGTACTTTAAGCAACGGCTGAATTCCTGTGCGTTCCCCTTTGGTACCAGCCTGTCACCTAGCTCTCCCTTCCTAATGAGGTTTGTGTTCCTCTGCAACCACTGTATCCCAAGCAGTCTCTAGGTAGGTTGCTATGTCAGACGTACCCAGGCTGTTTCTCGGGACAGCGTGCTGACATGCTGCAGCTGAAGTGCCAGGTTGGCTCTGTGTGCATTTATTGGTTGCTGGTCAAGAGGAATTCTGTTGAGATCACTCTTGAGTATTCCAGTGCAGCTGATTGTGGCCAGTTTTGCTTTGAAGGCGCGCATGAGTGCTGCAGGTCTGCACCACGCTCCCTTTGCTTGGTGTGAGCTCACCATGCATATATGTGCACATGGGATTGATCCCCACTGATGGTGACCACCCGTGCTGGAGTGACCTCTTCGTGGCTTCTTGTTTGTGTGTTTGTTGCTGCTGAAGTTAATGCATGTGTTTTCCTGCTACGCTTATTTATCATGTTGCCAAGAAATCCTGTGATCTCAGAGTAACTGTTCTTAGTGAAACATGCAGAATAGATAAGCAGAAATTTTCCTTGGAAGGAGAAGAGACTAAGAAAGGATGAGAAAAGCTGGACAAATCAAGTTTAGGAAGGCATATATTGGCTTGTGATGAAATATGATGAGGATTTGTATGGTAATGTTATGCTTCTGTTTGCTGTTGGGGACAGATGAAGGTACCACCTGGACAGTTCTGTCAATAATCCGCAAAAGAATCAAGTCTCAGTTCAGGTTACAAGAGTAATTCTGTGGGAAACTGAAACGGTTGCCAATAACAACAACAACAACAACAAACCCTCTGGTTGCGGATCCTGCAGCCACAGACTCTAGATTTTTGATGATTTTAATGCCTCTTATCTACTTTTCAGATGCATTGGGTTAGCAACTCACAGCTGAATCCTTCTAATCTGGGTGACGCCTTACAGTTCAAATGGACAATCTCTACATGAACTTCTTGTGCAGTGTTTGGGTGTGGGTGGTTTTGGAAAGACTGCTCCAAAAATTAAACGGGTAATATAAAAAAAACAGAAACAGAAAACTGGAGTGATTGAAAGGCAGGACTGCTCTCTTCTTTTCCTCTGACAAGCATTTCAGCTATGCTGCTGACAGTTTCAGTTCCCAGTTCCAGAAGAGGGCTGAGCAGTTCTCTAGCAAAAGAGGGAAGGAGGTTTGTGCTATCCCTAATATTTTTTGAAATTAAAAATAAGCAATGTTCCAAAATATCTTTGCAGCTTTCTTAAGTCTTTAAGTAGCAAAAATTGCAAAGGGGGGGAAAAAGGGAACAAACAGCAATAAAACTGTGTTTTCTTCTTTTTGTTGGTCACCTTGACGTCTTGAAGTATGTATTCTTTCTTCGGTTGGTTGGGGTTTTCTTACCCTTTTTAGGAGGAGTGATGGCCCTTATTTAAGATAGAATAAAACATGAGAATGTGTGTATAACTGTCCCTAATTTGATCTGCCTTAGGGTAGGGAGGCCCTTCAGAGGGATCTAGATAAGCTGGATCTCTGGGCTGAGGTGATGAGGTTCAATAAGGCCAAGTGTAGGGTCCTGCACTTTGGCCACAACAACCCCATGCAGTGTTATAGGTTTGGGAATGAGTTGGGTGGGTGATTGTGAAGAAGGAGGACCTGGGGGTGTTGCTTGATGCCTGGCTGAACAGGAGCTGATAGTGTGCCCAGATGGTCAAGAGGGCCAATGGCATCCTGGCCTGCATTAGAAATAGTGTGGCCAGTAGGAGCAGGGAGGTGATCACCCCCCTCTACTTAGCACTGGTAAGGCTGCACTGCACCTGGAATACTGTGTTCCATTTTGTGCCCCTCACTATAGGAAAGACATTGAGGCCCTGGAGCATGTCCAGAGAAGGGCAACAAAACTGGTGAGGGGTCTGGACACAAGTCTTAGGAGGAATGGCTGGGGGAGCTGGGATTGTTTAGTCTGGAGAAGAGGAGGCTCAGGGGAGACCTTACTGCACTGTACAACTTCCTGAAGGGAGGCTGTGATGAAGAAAAGTTTGGCCTCTTCTCCCAGGCAACAAACAGGACTCAGGGAAATGGCTGCAAGTTTTATCAGAGGTTAAGGTTACACATGAGGAAAAACTTTTTCTCTCAGAGAATGGTCAGGCACTGGAATGGCTGCCCAGAGAGGTGGTGGAGTTGCCGTCCCTGGCAGTGTTCAAGAGGTGTCTGGATGAGGTGCTGCGAGATACAGGTTAGTAGATTGTGGTAGCAATGGTAATGAGAAGACAGTTGGACTAGATGATCTTATAGGTCATTTCCAACATTGTGATTCTATGATTCTGATTAGGGTCCGTTTGGCTGTGGCAATGACAGAGCACACCAGAGCAATGGGAACTCACTGACAGGTGGAGGTGGTCTCCTTGCACTGTTCTTAGAAGCTCAGTGGTGCTGCAGTCCTCACTAAGTTGCAGGTGGTTGCTGGCAAGCTGCGCAGCCAGAAACAAAACATACTTTTCAGATAGGAAACTTCCTCGTCCTGAAACAGCTCCTCACCTCTAATAATTATTTCCCCTTTTCCTGTCATCATGACATAGCTGAGGACAAAAGTGTTGCTGCTGAATGCTAGCTCCTCCTCATGATGTAGTGAAGGAGTTGCTGGATTTCATGGATTTCCAAGAGGTTCTCCTCTGAGCCACCCAGGGACTTTGTGAGATGCATGGGTATTGAGGGTTCAGAATAGACCAAGCTATCTAATCTGCATTTGACTGCAGAGCACTGGTGCCAGCTGCTGCTGTGCTGCTCTTCACGTGGAAGCCTGCGACTGTATGCGCAGAGACAACTTTAGTACTCAGTTGTACAGGATGGTTAATAGTTTTTTTTTCTTTTTAGTTCAGGCAGCCACATGCTTTTTACTTTGTCTCGAAAAAAGCAAATACTTAATAAGGCTAAATAACTTCATGTTATGAGACAAAATGTGTTAGGGTTTTTAATTGGAACCTATTTAAGCTGGAGATACAGCTTATTCTTCATTATTTTGCCTGACTTCTTGCATCCCAGAAGGTGATCTTGGTTAGTGGAGAAATGTGCTTAGAATTACTTCACGTGCTTGAGAGATGGATCAGAAGTGTTTACATGGCACACCTACACCTCTGTGCATGGACTAGTGATCTTTCGTATCAGACATAGATGTTGAGAACTTGTTTCTTATACAGTAATATATTAGCGAAAAATCTTGAGTAATAGGGATGGCAACGGGCCTGGCCATATGACCGTCGTATCTTTGCACATGATCAGCCTAAGTTGCTTCCCACTGATGTATGAAGGTGTTTTGAGCAGATCAGCCAGTGACAGCATTTTTTTTTTTTCCACTTCTGGATAGCAATAGCTGTCAAATATGAGTATTTGGTTTTTTAAAATTAAAGGATACATTTATCTGGGTTTTTCTGGGGAAATAGATCCTTCTGTATCTAGGACAACAAAGTTAAAAGTTGGCTGGCACCCTGTAGAGATGTTGGAAGCCGGGAGCTGCCAAGTTCAGGGCCATTCTTGGGATATTTATTACCTGCCATTTGTAGGTGGGCTTTGGAGTAGCAACAGCCTGTGTATTTTACTATCAGTAAAAACAGTACTTAAAATTTAAGATCATACTGTGGCAATGCCAGACTACACTTGAAAATATGCCAAGACCCTGTGTACCTACAGATATAGGCTTTTCTCAATAGGATGAGGTGACATAAGCCAAGCTTTGTTGAAAAAAGTAGCAACAAAGAACCATCCATCTGCAGGATTCCCCATTATGCTCACTTGGAGGGTGGGAAGTATAGGAGAAGGAAGTATAAATATCGGTGTGAATCAAATGATGGGTAGATAAAGGTACAGTGTGAGCCCTAGAGGACAGCCTGTTTTATTTCCTTCAAATTGTGCAAAAGCCCTTTATTACTTTGCAGTCTACTGTTTTATTGATTTTTTTCAAATTATTTTTTTTTTCCTCTTCTCTGCTAGACAAAACCTCTTTGCTTTTAAGTTCTGCAGAGATCTGCTTTTATTAGCTTCCTTGCACTGCATGTGTTTCCTATGTGTAAGGAGAGTAAATAGGAGAAAGTTACTGTCTTTTTTTTGTGTGTGCAGTAAGGGAAAGAAGCACTGAAAAGGGATGGGCATGCAGGAGTTCAATTCTGGATCTTGGGTAAGATTTCTGCATGGAGTGATGTGAGTTGGGAGAAAAGAAGCTGCTGTCAATACCTCAAGTTGCTGAGTGTGGTGCTGTGTCAATCCTCAGTTAGGTTGCCATGTACTTTAAATACTAAGCAGAGCAGCAGGATTTCATTGCACTTCATTTCATTGCACACTGGCATGAGGCAGGAATGCAAGGTAGCTGCCGGTTTGTTGGTTTGTAAATGAGAAAGAGTGGTTTCCATATCTCTTGAATTCGGAGGTCACTCTACCAGCTGCTGAGCAGACAGATGGTGGAGGAGGAACAAGAAACCATCTCATTTGGGGGATTCCAGAGAGAGCAGAAAATAAAGGAGAAGAAGTGGAGAAGTGAGACTTGGGCTTGTTTTTTAATAAATATTTCTCAATTATGCTTAAGAATTTGGTCTGGCTCAAGTGGTTTGCTTTGATTACTTTGTTATTCTGTAGCTATCTAGTGAAGTAGTGAAGGGATTTCTTCCTGGTTTCTGGGAGTAAAAGAATACACAGTTTATGAGGTGTGATCTTCTACCAGGTTGTGGAGACTCTGAGCTGTGTGTGTGCAGCTCTTAAGCTGCATGAAGAATGCTCATCCTTTGCTCTGCAGCAGTTTTCCTCCTGCACAGCAGCTGTCTGCTATTGCTCAGCGCTTTGTAAACATGGTCATTGTCAGAAGTTGTCAGATTTACATTGCTTGTTCCCACCTCAGCATTAACAACGAGACCTTTAGGATGAATAAACACTACTCGGTATTTAATAATCTTCATATTCTAATCCTTTTCATGGTTTTTAGCAGCTATATATTTGTTACTTCTTGATTTTAAGAAAAAATGGTGGGGTTTTTTTTGTTTTTTTTGGGTTTTTTGTTTGTTTTTAACCTTTTCCTGTTTAAAACTTTTAGTCTCTGAAGCAAGTGCAGTCCTCTGTAACATGTTTTGCAGATACTGGCTAAAAACAAAGCCATCAGGACCAAGATCTGTTCTCTAAACTAATTGGGATCTGTTGGTGCGCTCTGACCTACAGACTCATCTGCTCCGTGGAGCTTGTAATACTATAATGTAATGGAAAGTACAGTGATAGTAGTGGAGTGGCAAATTCTTTGGCTGCAGCAAATGAGGACAAGCCCAAATGCAGCAGCTGTTTCAGCAACCTGAAACAAACAGGGATGGGGGGAAAAAAAAAGCAGCTTACCTTGAAAGGCCTCAAGTAGGCAAGGATCTCCAGCAAGATACATTTTTTCTCTGCTGCCAACTCTTAAATGAGGTCAGGGAAGGGGTTAATCCTGGTTCCAGTCCTTCTATCGCTCAGTGCATTGCATGTACCTGAGCTGCTCGGGGCTGGCCCTGCCTTCCCACCAGGTCTTCAATCACTGTTTCAGGCTGTGACTTAGCATTTCTGCTACAGAGCTTTTTCATTGACTAGATGAATTGCAGACGTCCCTGTGTAACAGCATATTAATCAAACTTTAAATAAGCACCTCACTGTTAGAACTATGTGCAGCCACTATGTCTTGACTCTGTGTAGAGCCAATGCTTTCTCTTTTTCAGTACCATTTTTGCAGGTATGGAGTTGGAATGCTGCTGGCAGAGCATCCTGTGAATTCCCCCATGGCACTATGGCCATGTCTTGGACTGTGCTGCTCCATGTCTAAAGGCTAAAGTGTGGGATATGTGTTTCTGAGCTAGGAGAAAGCTCTCATCTATCTGGGATTTGGTATTTATAACAAGGATGAAAGAGTCAGGGAGAGCTCTAATCTCTCTATTGTTTTTTGGCTGCAGGTGGCAATAAAAATCATTGACAAATCTCAGCTGGATGTTGTGAATCTCGAAAAGATCTACCGTGAGGTGCAGATAATGAAGATGTTGGATCACCCACACATCATAAAGCTCTACCAGGTATGGTAACACTGGCTGTTCAATTCTCCCTCTTTGCTCCTGTTTGAAGATTCCATTTCCTGCCTATCAGCAGCTCACAATTTCAGCTTTTTGGGCATTAATTTGCATTGATACATGGTGTATGAGAACTGCTGAATCACAGGCTGAACCTCTGATTGATCACCTGAGGCGAGCAATGAGTCAGCCACGGAGCACAGGTGAAGGCAATGCACCTGTGCTGCCGGAAGGGGTGGAGCCTGGCTGCACCTCTCCTAGACCCATGTAAGAGCTGGCTGCCAGTGGGGAAGGATCTCTTTGGGAGTTCCACTTCGTCAGAGTTTCCCACGTGAGCCCAGGATATGGGTACCCATCATTTTTATTTCCTGCTTTGGTGTAACAACTGCATAGCCAAGCTCTCTGTTATACCGTAACAAATAATTATATAACTATATAATAAATTAATAATAGATATAGAAATATATTAATAATATATAATAAATTATAAGAAATAATTATATAATGAATAATAACTTAACGTGCAACTTCTCCATCAACAGGTGATGGAGACCAAAAACATGCTGTACCTCGTGACAGAATTTGCCAAAAATGGAGAAATTTTTGGTAAGAGAATGTTTTCCATTCCAAATGCCCAGCACTTTACCATTAACTTCTGCACTTAGTTAATTGCATTGATTTTGTTCAGGGCTTTTTTTTTTTTTTTTTTTTTTTTTTTTTTTTTTTTTTTTTTTTTTTGGTGGTATGTACTCTTTCCCTTATCTGTCCAGAAAAACTCATGACAGCTGGTACTGCTTCGCATTTTAGAACAAATAACTTCAAGAAAAGCTGCTACAATTTGAGTTTCCAACATAAATTTTTGCTCTAAAGGAGCTTTGGTTGCTGTGCAGTTAGAATTAATGTGCTCTCAATCTGGTTCATATATTGTAGTGTCTCACTTTCCAGATGTGAAGCTGATGGTAAAGTTGAAAAATGAAGAGAGGTGATGTTTTTATTAAAAATCTGCAGGAGGAGAGATTGAATTACTGCACCTTTTCATCAGGTTTATCTAGACTTTGGGCCCCTTTTGGGTAGAAAGATGTTATTCATGGTGCTGGATGGAAGTGTTAATTCAGTATTTAATAGCAAAAATTACATTCCCAGGAATAGTATAAAGGCAAAGCTATGATAGTGAATTGCATTGGTGAGATGGTGGGTTTTGACCTGGAAGTTTGTTTAAACTGGAGAAAAAAAATCTCTGTTGCACAGGCATAGAGAACACTGTTGACATGTATGCTGGTCACGAACTGTTACTTTCTGTCTGTGGAGGAAAGTGGGTGGAATCAGAAGAGATTCCTGGAGCAACTCAGATGTCTGAAGCAGTATTAGTGTTCTTCCTGTAGATCTGGAGAAACTGTGTGGCTACTACTATGGAAAGCCAGTCATACTGACCTGTGACTCAGACTACATGTAGCATCTTTCTGTAATATGTGAGAGATGGAGTTAATATGTAATGAGAAAAAGATAAGAGATTGACGTACTGGTATGCTGTCATCTGGAGTACTCTGTGTATCACAGGTACTGTTGCTTGGTTTAAGAACTGGACTGAGCTTTGTAAAGGCTGATTTTGTGACTTTATGCTTGACATCCAGGCACCTGGAGTTTTCTCATACATTTTACATTTGCAGTTACAAAATTGGAGTTGCTGAGAAAAAGTTTCACTGACACTCAACAACACTGCCAGGCAGAACAAACTCTGAGGGGCATTAGAATAGAGTTCACCTAATGATTGGCCCTAATGATTGGAGAACAGAAGAGGTGGAGCCTGACTTAATGTAATTTTTTGCACTGTGGGCCGTGGGGTGGATTTCATGGACACAAATCAAATGGTCAAAGTACTTTCTTCTTGTTTGATTAATCTTCTTTTTCATCTTGAGGTCCTTATCATAGAACTATCTGTTGTAAGAAAGATAGTATGCTTAGGTCAACTTTATGTAACTGGGAAATAGAGAAAATCCAAGGTGGTATTCAATAAAGGGAGAGGGAGAAAAGCAGACAGGAGACTGAAGCCTTGTGAGCTTTTTCTCCTTCCCATCATAATCTTTCCTTGGGTGCACTGAGTTTGCCTCGATTAACTGTCAGTTAATTACAGTGCACCTATTCTGAGGGACTCATTCCCTATATTTTTTTCACGAGTGAACTTTATTTTTTCTTTATATTGCAACACAGGGGTAAGAATGTGGAGGGTAAAGCTGATTGTTAATCCTAAAAATAAGCCCACTGTTCAACAAGGTGGGGATGAATATCCTCAGTGCCAGTTCTGATTGCCTCTACTACTGTGGAAGCAGTTCGCTCTTCTTCCTGCTGTCTGACATCCTCACTACATTCACGGTTTTAAATCTGTAAACATAACAAACACCGTAGGTGTTCCAGGTGACATTTTGGGTGACTTATGTTTGATTTAACTTCTAACTACTTAAAGGAATTTACTGCTTTTGGCTGAAGTTTAGGTAACATTTAGTTTGATATTGGCTTTCAGTTTCCTCTAGTGGCTTATAGTTGGCTTTTAGCATGAGACCTCCAAACAAGTGATAAAGACTCATCCTTGTGTAGAGCTCATATCACGTCTCATAGAATCATAGAATCACTCAGGTTGGAAAAGACCTTAGAGATTATTGAGTCCAACCATGACCTAAACATACTACCCCAATTCTAACAACTCTCCACTAAATCATAGAATCACCAAGGTTGGCAAAGATGCACAAGATCACCTAATCCAACCATCCACCCATCACCAATGGTTCTCACTAAACCATGTCCCTCAATATAACATCCAAACATTCCTTGAACACCTCCAGGGTTGGTGACTCCACCACCTCCCTGGGCAGCCCATTCCAGTGCCTGACCGCTCTTTCAGAGCTATTTCCTGACATCCAGCCTGAATCTCCCCTGGCACAGCTTGAAGCCGCTCCCCCTAGTCCTATTACCAGTTACACGAGAGAAGAGGCTGACTTCTAGATCACTACAGTCTCCTTTCAGGCAGTTATAGAGAGCAATAAGGTCTCCCCTGAGCTTTCTCTTGTCCAGACTAAACAATCTCAGCTCCTTCAGCTGCTCCTTTTAAGGTCTGTGCTCCAGACCCCTCACCAGCTTTGTCACCCTTCTTTGAACCTGCTCCAGGGCCTCAATGTCTTTTTTGTAGTGAGGGGCCCAAGACTGGACACAGTACTCAAGGTGCAGCCTCATCAGTGCTGAATACAGGGGGATAATTACTTCCCTGTTCCTGCTGGTAACGCTTTCTGATGCAAGCCAGGATGCCATTGCCCTTCTTGGCTGCCCGGGCACACTGCTGGCTCACGTTCAGCTGAGCATCAATCAATACCCCAGGTCCATTTCCTCTACACAGTCTTCCTGCTACTCTGCCCCAAGCCTGTAGTGTTGCTTGGTGTTGTTGTGGCCAAAATGCAGGACCCGGCATTTGGCCTTGTTGAACCTCATTCCATTGGCTTCAGCCCAGCTTTCCAGCCTGTCCAGATCCCTCTGCAGGACCTCGCTACCCCCAGGCAGATCCACGCTTCCAGCTAACTTGGTGTCTTCTGCAAACTTTCTGAGGATGCACTCAATGCTCTCATCCAGGTCATCAATGAAGATATTGAAGAGGACAGGCCCCTACACCGAGCCCTGGGGAACACCACTTGTGACGGGTTGCCAGCTGGATTTAGCTTCATTCACTACCACTCTTTGGGCCTGGCCCTCCAGCCAGTTTCTTACCCAGCCGAGAGTGTACCTGTCCAAGCCGCAGGCTGCCAGCTTCTTCAGGAGAACACTGTAGGAGGCAGTGTCAAAGGCTTTGCTGAAGTCTAAGTAGACTACATCAACAGCTTTTCCCTCATCTGTCAGATAGGTGACGTGTGACAAAGTGACTGTGCCCTAAGTATGTACTTTTCAGATGCTTCTTTCTCTTCTATACCCTGGAAATGTAAAGGAGAGAGTGTCTAAAATATGACTGTGGTATGTTCTATGTCTCCAGGAGAGAAAGCAGTGCATTTCAGGATAGATCACCTATTTCATGCAGGTGACTAGACTCGGTGGAAAATGCAAGGCCAGGAATACTGCTGAATGTGGTTTGGAAGCTTTAAATGAGCCCTAACAGGCTAAAGCTGTGAAAGCAAATGACAGTTTAGGTTTGTTAACTAATTTGTTGAATTTCTAATACAGGATGGATTAACAATTTACAGGGTTGGCTTGTATTCCATGTAACTTAATGTGTATCTGATACCTGACTTTACTTTGATACCATTTGATTTGTCAGGCACTTCATGACTGAATGATATGCAAATATTATCATCTTCCCTACTGCCAGGAGTTCTATTCTTGTGCTTTGCCAAGTTAAGCCAGCAGACAATGCATTCAGACTCAAACTGGTTAGAAGCTCGGAGGAGAGTGTTCTGTGTGTTTCTGCAAATCCTGGAGATGACATCTAAGGGACTGCCTGGAAATGTTTGAGGGCTGCTGAAATGAGTGCCACTCCTCAGTGATTGGTCACAAAATGTAGAAATTGCATGGCATGGGCAAACATGAGTTCTTCCCCCTTTCCCCCCCCCCTGGTTTTTTTTTTCTCTTTTTTTTTCCTCCAGTAAGTTCAGAACTTTGAGGACTGTTTTGTGAATCCTGGAATATAGGGCATCATCTGCCGACAGTGCTGCTGACCCACTGGGCTGTTTGTGACTGCTCCCTGCTGCATTTTATGTTGCACTCTGCAAAACTTTCCAACTTCCTTCTGGTGCTTCCCTTGATAGTGCTATATAATTTCAGGGTATTTACAGCATCATGTAAGCATTTGCAGCAGTACTGTAACCTAGAGCTAATAAGGAAATGTTATACTTTGGAATTGGTGGGTATGCACTACCAATTAGATGAACAGTATTCTCATGTACGTAATTGACGGGGTGATTTCCTGGCCAATAGGCAATGGCTCTATCAAAATCTGCTGTTCTTTCTACAGTGATATCATGAATCAATTCTTTGACATGAATAGTCACTTTTTCACTGTGTTTTTTCTAGTTTATTCTGAAAGATGATGTATTTGTAGCATGCTGCAGCCAGTTGCCTTGCACATGAGTCTAAAGAAGATCTGTCAAATTTGGCAAATTTTCCACAGATTACAGAAAGCCTGGCCCTTGTCTTATATTCCTAATGGTTCTTTGTCAGCTTATTCTCGTTCCATGCAGTATCACAAACTAGCAGCTAAGTTGTTAGTTATGTTTTTAAAATTATATTTGTCCTTTTTTTTTCTGTTCTTTTTTCCTCCTCTGTTTGTTTTTTTTTTTTTTTTTTTTTTTTAAACTAATGCCAGAAGAATATTTGACAGCACATGTTCTCTCTAGTGAGCTCACGCAACTTGCAGGATGGAAAAGATTTTCTAGCTATGAAATTTGCCCTTTGATCATAATGTAGGCACTATAACTATCTACTAATGAACTGCCTTTCTTCACCTTTAGCATTCTGTGTGGTCCGTATTTGCACAGTAACTAATAAGGCTGTATTCTGTCTCACTGAGGGTAAGCTGACCTACCACATAAATGAAGTAAAGTATCACAAGTTCATGTAACATTATGTCATTAGGAACTAAAGTACCAACTTATTTTAGGAACATTAGATTATCTAAATTTAAAAGAAAAAAAATTAAAGCAAACGCTTATAACTAATCACATAAGTTCATTGGTCACTGCTTTTTTGTTTTGTCTAACAAAAGTCCTAGCTGTGCTGCAGAAAGTGGCTGGGAGATGGCTGTGTGTACATGCATAGCAGAAATGCTGAGTCATGGCTTAAAACAGTGATTGAGCACCTGTTGGGAAGGCAGGGCCAACCCAGAAAAGCTTAGCTGCGTGCAGTGTACCTGAGTGATGGAAGGGGTAGAGCCAGGATGCACCCCTTCCCAGACCTCATTTAAGGGTTGACGGGTGTCATGGGGAAGCAGAGGGATCTTGTTGGAGATCACTGTGTACCTGAGGCCTTTTGAGGGTAAGCTTTTTCCCTTTGTTTCTGTATCTGTAGCTGCTGGGCTTGCTTATTCTCATTTGCTGCAGCTTTAGACTTTGCCACCCTGCTTTTATTGCTGTGCTTTCTATCACACTATAGCATCATAACATGCTCTGCCTCTCCTGTGGAATACCTACGTGCATTTCCTGCACCTTGGCCATGAGCTTCATCCTTACTAGGATGTGAAAGGCAATTCTGGAGCCATCTTAATGGTTGATTCCTTGGTTTTTCTGCCATGGAATTGAAAGAATAGAAGTGGCTACAGAGGCTACTTCTGTCAAGACTTGCACGGCTGCTGCTTCCCTTGTTTTTGTTCCTGCAGATAAATGATGTCTTCAGTTTCAGAGCTATCATTTGTTTCAGGGCTAACAGTTTTACAACATAATCAGATATGAAAATAAAATGTTCTTTCTGCTGTGATGCAATGAAGATGAGTGAGAGGTCAGGATGTGTACTTTATGGGTATTTGCTTTTTTTCTAAAGAAGAAATACTTTTAGTCACTGCACAGCATGTGCTGAGGCTTCACAAGAGAGGTGTGAATGTAACTACTTCATAGGAGATCTCACATGAAAATATGTATCAGAATGGACAACCATGAAAGAGCTAAGAGTTGAGTTTAACTAGACAAGCGCTGTTCTTCTCTCCCCTTTTTGGAGGAAAGAAAGCAAGAAACTTGGCTGAAATACACCTTGAGTTTCTTAGTGCTAAATATCTGAGAGAAATCACTTGTTTTCAGGGTTACTGCTTGGTGTCTAATCTATTTAAATGTCCTTTGTATGAACAGATTACCTCGCCAGCCATGGCCGACTCAGTGAGTCTGAGGCCAGGCGGAAGTTCTGGCAGATCCTGTCAGCAGTGGAGTATTGCCACAACCGGAAGGTTGTGCACCGAGACCTGAAGGCTGAAAATCTTCTGCTTGACAACAACATGAACATCAAAATAGCAGGTATGCAGAATGTAGAGGGTTATTCAAAAACCTTATTTTTAAGGAAAGTGTTTTTTCAGTAATTCAGCTGCTGCTGCCTAAGAAGTCCTGCTGTGCGTAAGTCAAAGAAAACCAGAGTGGTAATACATAGAATACTTTTGCACTATGGATATCATAGTGCACATAGCTAAAACAATTCCTAAATTGGCTCTATTATACATTCAGGGAAAAGAAAACCGTTTTTAGAGTAATTTTTTGTGGGTGTCATAACATGTCAGTGATGCTGCCAGACATTCAGGTTAATATTGAGTTAATCAAATAACTTATTTCAATGTCAAAAAACTCAAAATGGAAGCTTATTGATTTTTTTTTTTTTTCTTTTTGCATGCCTGATTTCACTTTAATTATAAATTTAGGTACAGCAGATGTTGCTGGCAGTGAAAATAATTTTGTCAGTTATCAACTCATTACAATTCCATGAATCCTTCCATGTTGGCTTTAGCCCAGAAACACTTGAAATGCAAAAGGTAGATAACATCTTGATTTGGAGCACTGTTGAACTTTAGTCATCAATAACACAGGAGCAGGAAAGGAGAACTAACTGCTGGAAGAAGCTGGTTTGTATTGGCGTAAGCTTGTGAGTTCTGAGAAGGAAGTGTGAATAGACTTTCAATTGGCTGAGGAAGATGCAGTGATAAAACACTGCTGAGTTACGGACCACAGCTAGATGACTTTACTTTTGAATTTCTTCTCTGGCACTTCTGAAATGGCTGAGCTGAAAGTGTATCTGGATATCTAATGTTTTCTGTAAGTATGAGGCTGCAGAAAAGTGTTAAATGTGCCAGCAGATCTTAAAACATGTGCTTTTTATTCATGGAGTATGAAGATGGTGTCCTGAAAGATTTTAAAGGAAAAGCTAGTACCTGTTCATTTGGTTAGCATCTGTTGTGAAGATTTGCCTCTCCCTCTGTGATACTGCAGAAGAAATTGGGAAGACTGAGCATCCAGTCTATCTCTGGAGATTAACTTCAGCCTTAGGAAGAATCTTTCAAATCCTTTCAAGTCAACTTTATCAGAATGAGGAATCAACAGTCTTTTAAAATGAGCACCTCTGAGATCAAAATATTGCTTGAGCAAGAATTTATCCTCTAAACTTAGATAAAAGGAACCCAGTCATAGCTGTCAAAAAAACAAGTTATCTTTGGATAGAAAATGGGCTGTTTCTAATGGACCGAGAAGGATTTCTTACCAGTGTATGTATTAAGAGGGTAGCTTTCCCAGCTCCTGCATGTGTTTGTTGCTTTTGTGTTGACCTTCATTTTTGTCTGTATGTTAAGTACTTTCCTCTCTCCGTTCCTTTACTACTACCTTCCTGCTTCTAGCATGTTTACAGAGAAGTAAAGAATAAATTAAGAAAAATATAATGATGTCTGTTGCAGAACCATGACTTGTATGGATTATTAAGCTATTTATTTATTAGCCACATCTGAGTGTAATGTGTTTTGTTTTGACGTAGAGGATAGTGTGTGTGAAACTGATTCTTTAAAACTCAAGAGTGGAGCCTGATAATCTGGACTTCTTGGCAATCACACACACATACAGAATGGTCCAGGTTGGAAGGGATCTCAAGGATCATGAATCTTCAACTCCCCTGCCACAGGCAGGACCACCAACCTCCACATTTAATACTAGACCAGGTTGCCTAGGGCCTCATCCAACCTGGCCATGGGACATCCACAACCTCTCTGGGCAGCTGTTCCAGCACCTCATCACTCTTATAAACAAACACTGTTTCATGGATCCTTAGCGTGTCATAGTAGGAATTCTAAAGAACGTTCATAAAGCAGTAGAAATTGTTATTTGTTATGGAGTTTTTACAGCAGCCTCTTTTTTATTTCTTTTGCTTTTCTCTGTTCTCTATTGTAGACTTTTGTACTAGTGTTAAGTTTAAAAAAAAAAAAAGTTACTATCAGATGAAGAAAACCTGTTGTAGCTAGAAGGTGAAGTTCTGATATGAGTTCTTATTTTGTGCCTTTGATACCTGAAGAAAACTAAGAAAGCATTTTAGGATGGAGATGATGTCTGGACTTTAAACCAAAGTGGCCTAAGTGCAAATAACAAAAAATGCTGAGACTGAACTGGTAGTGGTGTCTCAAAATTTTGAAAATTTTGAGCCAGAGGAGACTGAAGACATCAACTGCTCTGTCATGGGGAGCTTTGATGTCCAAGTCCTCCAGAGAATCAGGAATAAATGAAAACACCAATAAATGGTTGTTCCCAGGTTCCTTCAGCTGCTGCTGTCTCTTACCTCAGCTGCTCCTATGCTCTATATTCCCCGGAAGTTAACTACAGATGATATGTAATGCATGTAAATGATTACATTAACTGGTAGTGATTCACATGGTCTTCTGTGCATCTTCATCAAGCTTTCACAGGATGGATTATGATTCCTGTCTGCAGCTTCGATGATAAAGTAACCAGGGAAAAGTTAAACCTGCCAGAAACTGTGATGATTAGTCCTGAGTCGGTTGTTTTGTTTTTCTCTGCAAAGGAAAGAGATGACTAATTCCACAGAATGGCTCATCTGTGATTTTGCAGTTATTTGGTACCACATGGGTCCTTGAGAACAGTCTCTTCTAGTGGTTTGTATTTTTTCATTGTTCGTGTATGAAACTGCAAAAAACAAAGAGCAGCCAAGATCCCAACTCTGACAGCTAGAATTACTTTCTAATTAGAATTAATCTAGCAATTTAAAATCACAGCACAGGAACTGATGAATTATTCCAAAAGAAAGTTTTGCAGCATTGGTGTTTGCTTGCCAGCACTGTGTGTGGGGCTGCACCTTGCTGACTGCTCTAAGCAGCTACAAATCCACACTGATGCTCGTGGCCATTCTGGGTTCTTCTCAAATGCCATGGGATCTCTTGATCTATTCTGCTGCTCCAAAGTCTTTTACTAAAGCTTTTGCTCTTTAGAATACAACGTTTTGCAGTTAAATATAGGAACTTACATAAAGACACCTCTGTATTTCAGCTATGATTCAGAAGCAAGTGTTTCTAAAACTCTAAGCTGATTGCCACCTCTTCTGCTTAAACAGGGAAACTGACATGAAAAGTCACGGCTTTGTGCTAATAATTCTCGAAAAAGGATAGACAGAATTCCAAGGAACTTTCTTTTCTATCTTAGATGAGAAGCAGAGGATGCATACAGATCTTGAAGTGAGAGCTTTGATACTATTATTTTCTAGAAGATATCTGGGAGTTGGGAACAAAAACTTCAAACTTAAATTTGAGCATAAATAAAAGAGGTGTTAATCGGATTAAATGTCCAATGAGAAAGTTTCAGCTGAAGGCTGCCAAGCCAGACAGCTCCTCTGCAATTTGTTTCTAGCACTTAGGTTGTTTTTTGGTTGGTTTTTTTTTTTTTTTTTTTTTTTTTTTCCCCCAAAGTTGTTATGTGTAGACAGCCAGGTATTTGAGGACCTTTCACATTTTGCTGGTTTCTTAAGAGCTCTCAGTGGCTGGATATCTCATTGTTGGTAAGCTATGCTGTCATCAGATAAAACTTTTTCATTTTCTATCAGAGATGGCTCTATGAACAGCAATTACAGCATAGAATTGAGGATGAAATAGTGAGGTTCTCCCTGTTGCCTTCCATTCCTACAAAACTGCCAAATAAAGATCGTAGAATGGCCTGGGTTGAAAAGGACCTCAAAGATCATCTAGTTCCAATCCCCCTGCAGTGTGGGGGCCAGCACTGGGTTGGGGGCCAACCACCAATCCAGGCATCTCAGAGCCGCATCCAGGCTGTCCTTGAATGCTTCCAGGGATGGGGCACCCACAACCTCCCTGGGCAACCTGTTCCAGTGTGTCAGCACCCCTCAGTGAAAAACTTCCTTCTAATTTCTAACCTAAGTCTCCCTGTCTTAGTTTAAAAACATTCCCCGTTGTCATATCACTATCAACCCATGTAAACAGTTGTTCCCGCTCCTGTTTGTGCACATCATACTGGAAGGCTATGTGCTTTATAAATGCATCTGCAGAACTTGTGCATTTGGATGGTAAAGCTGCTGTATTCAAACCAGATCAGGTAGGAGAGACTGTTATTTTGAAGTAGGCTGTAGCGCTGGCTTGTCTTGCTGGTGGACTGTAAAATATGCATTGACGTCAGAATGGCTGATGCACATTCAGTGCATGAAGTGGGTCAGGTTTGTTTCTAACATGCTCATACCTTTCCTTTATCAGCACCCCTCTCATCTTGATGTCCTTTGCTCACATTACGATGTTATAACAGAAGACCCATGTGGCTCTATAACGCCAGGCAAGCTGTGTTATTTTTGTAATTTTAGAAGACTGGATTAATTGTAGCTCTGAGGCTGGTATCCCTTCTACATGATTTGTAGTGGTATAAATTAGAGACCACCTCATATTGCTAGATGCACAGCAGAAGTAGCAGTGGCTCTGGCAGGGAGCTTCTATTTCTCAAATTGCAAACTGGTCTGAAATCTTACTCTGTTTCCATTTTTAACAGGAAAAGAGTTTCCATTTATGTGTGCAAAAAAACCTATACTTTTTAAATTAAATATTATTCTGAGGACAGTAATGAAATCAAGAAACTAAATGCCCCAAATGTTGGGAGCCAATATTTTCAGGTGGCACAGAGAGAGTTTATTCACACAGAGTTTATTCAGCTGAACACAATGCTGTAAATGGTTGTTGTTTTTTCTTTTTAATATGCACATTTGGGAAAATGTTAAAAAGATAAAGATCACTGAATTATATAATCTCAGTCTTCTGATAGCAAGTCCAATTTCAGTCCTTTTAGAATTCTGTGGCTGACATGTCTTGTGCAGAATTGGCACATTAGGTGATAGTAACGTTCTTGAAATCCATTTTTCTGGAATGAGAAACCTCAGTGCTGTTCTTGGGTTAAAAATGATTATCTTTCATCCAGAATGATGGTGGTAGATCAACAATTGCAAGGAGAAACAAAGTAGGGGAATAGGAAGAGTGCTGGTGATT